AACGAACCTACCACAAAATTTAGGGTGTTTTTTTGACATAAAATATTTACGTGGCCTTTTTTGTGTTTAGTTTTTTGAAAAAATATTTTACCATTAATTTATAAACTAAGTTTATTTGTTGAGTAATATTTTTCAACTCATGAAATTCTATAAATATATTTTAAAAATAATAATCAACTCATAATATCATCTAACTATTTTTGTCACGGTCATCACCATCATGTTGCCTATAGTATATCTTTTTTATCATCGTTATCGTCACTAGTGACGGATGCGGAGACCAAATGTTCATGAGGGCCAAAATAAATATTTATAAATTTATTATGATTTACATAAATTTATATATATTATAAATAAAATATCAATTTATATTTTAAAATAATCTCAAAATACAATAACTCAAAATAAAGATCTTCATTCTTTCAAGTCACGAAAATCATTTATAAGCGAATTTATACTAAAATTTTCAACAATTTTTTTTCAATATATACTAGCAAACAATCGAAAAGAAAGTCATCTTCCTTCTTGTTACGAAGCTTAGTCTTGACTATACTCATAGCTGAAAATGATCACTTCGTGATAGTTGTAAAAACTAGAAGAGTAATAATAACTCGTTATTATTTTATACACGAGTGGATAACTTTAAAATTTTTTTTTTATCTTTATCAACCATTGACACAAATTAGATATAGTTGACAATATTTCAAAATTAGAAAGATTTCGTACATGATCAAAATGCTCAAATTGCATCTTTAATTGTAGCATTTCATGATCGAGCAAAGTAGTGAGGGTAAAATTTCTACACCAACTTACAAATGTCTTCAATCCTAAATGATATGCGTATCTTTCTAGGTTTTAAAACTCGAATCGAGAACGAGTAGTTCTATCGTATGATCATTGAATTTATTATTCAGTTCTTGCAATTGAGAATCTATCACGAGCATTGAATGTGTCAACATTGTAATGATGCTCAACTATAATTGCACTAAACATATTCATCAAACCAAAAATAGATTTTAGATGAAAACTCCAACGAGCATCTCTAATCCTTTTATAATATATCGAACTCGTTATTAACCGAATTAAAAATATATTAAGGATGTATGAAAACTATTTTATGAGCATAAGATAGTTTCCATGAGGATGCTAGAATATTCGATGCGCTTAGGATAATTTTTTCAGTACTTGGGTGAATATTTTATCTTTTTTTCGATGCATGAATAGTAATTTTTATGCAAAATAAATCTTTTGAGTATTTTAAATGTGTATGAAAAATGTTCTATTTGCTAGAACAATGCCAAATTATTCTGTGCCATTGGATGTATTTTTTGATGTTCGAGTGAATATTTTTAGGACATGAATAGTATTTTTTCGTGCAAATTAATTATTTTGAGTATTTTAAATATGTTTGAAAGCTATCCAATGCGTATAAAAAAATCATTTAGGACGTGTAGGAATATTCTATGAATTTAGGTGAATTTTTCTATGCACAAGGAATATTTTCTATAGAAATAGTATATTTTTACACTTATTTAAGTCCTCAAATTAATTATTTTGTGTAAAAATACATTCATTTATGCATAGGTTGATTAAAATTCCAATTGAAGCATTCTAAAAAAAAATAATAATAATAATTAAAGCATGAATTAGGATGGTGTCATATTGAAAATAGAACTGTTATAAAATAAAAAAAATGATAAAATAGTATAGCATGGGATGTTCTATGGGGGAGAAAAAAACAAATTGGAGGGAGGGGGAGGGGGCCAGCCCTTGTAGCAATGTACTTGGGTCCACCTCTATTTGCCACCGTCATCACCTCTATCATCATTATTTTACTACCATCATATTTTCAATATTATTAATACTTATTAAATATTATAAAAAAATTATTTTGTGTAACATGTAAATATTTTACACAAAACTAACATCACTAGATATAAATGAAATTATTGTCCAGCGAACAAAAATTTCAGAGCAATTTTCCAATAATTTTGTGGCATGCAATTACGTACAGAAAGAAAGGAGAATTAGAGCCTATTATTGGTGAATATTTTCGGGGCATGAATAGCGTTTTTTCGTGTAAATTAATTATTTTGAATATTTTAAATGTGTTTGAAAATTATCCAATGGGCATAAAAAAAAAATCATTTAGGAAGTGTAGGAATATTCTATGAATTTAGGTGAATTTTTCTATTTACAAGGGATATTTTTGTAGAAATAGTATATTTTTACACTTATTTAAGTCCTTAAATTAATTATTTTGTGTAAAAATACATTCATTTATGCATAGGTTGATTAAAATTCCAACTGAAGCATTCTAAAATAATAATAATAATAATAATAATAATTAAAGCATGAATTAGGATGGTATCATATTGAAAATAGAGTTGTTATAAAAAAAATGATAAAATAGTATAGCATGGGATGTTCTTTTCACGCATTTGCTTGTCACCATCATCATCTCTATTATCATTATTTTACTATCATCACACATTTGTTGGTCACCATCATTACCTCTATTATCATTATTTTACTATCATCATATTTTTAATATTATTAATACTTATTAAACATTATAAAAAAATTATTTTGTGTAACATGTAAATATTATACGCAAAAATTAACATCACTAAATATAAATGAAATTATTGTCCGGCGAAAAAAAATTTCAGAGCCATTTTCCAATAATTTTGTGGCATGCAATTACGTACAGAAAAGAAGGGAGAATTAGAGCCTATTATTGGTGACCTTGTAAGAGGGCAATTTGACTTTTCGGAGGTCAGAAGTCTTGGCTTTTCCAGGAAATCATAGGGTAGGTGTCTGGTATATACTTGCTGTAGCAGTCCAAAAATGCATTTATCACCTGATGACGATAGGATAGCACATTGAAATATTTACTTTGTGATTAAGTTTTTGTAGTAAACATATACGAGATCGTGTGCCTTTGTGTCATGACCATAACAAGTCAACAGATTAGTTAACAGAAAAAATCTCGGTATCAACGCCTAGAAGAAGGAACATATATTTGGATGCTGATGTAAATGCTGCCGGCCGTCCAATTATTGAGCTAAAAAAGTCAAAATTTAGGTGGAGATTGCCATGACTAAACATGCTCTACAATTCCATGCATGTTGTTCCCCTTAGTGGCCTTTCTTGGTGATCATAATACGGTGCTTGCTTGCTTGCGTGGCATCCTAGATATTTTTTTAAGAATCAGCATTATATATATATATATATATATATATAACTTCAAACTTTTCTGCTGACTAAGTGCGGCAAAAGAAGACTTGGTTTATCATAGCAGGAAATTGCTTGCTTCATAGAAACCGAAAACACACGTAATTTCTTAAAGCTGTATACATTCAATGTGTTCTTCTTAATCCGTCCCCACTCCCAAGGCACCCATAATTAAATTTTATTGTTTGGAATAGAGAGTCATCGCACTTTGCACCTTTTTCCCCAGTGTAACCTAAACATTCAAATTCAATTGGTTCCTTGACTATTTGGAATAGCCTGTTTCTTTTGCTCTTCAAGTCCACCTATGAATAGAAGAAAAATATCTGAACTTTAAAAAATGAACGAAATATATATATATATATATATTATCAACTCACGATATTCATCAATATTATAATTTAGCTACTGCAACAACTATAGTAACATCACCACCACTACCGTAAAGATCAACACCACCTCACCATCGTTGGCTACAACCACCAACTCATTGTAACTATTAGTTTATTACCAACGTAACCATCCATCCTTTTATCGCCATGTCACCATTATTCTTCCAACACCACCACCACTGCCGCCGCCGCCGCCAATCTTCACAACCATTTAGTTATTTATGCAACCACAACTTCTTCACCATTTCCAAAACCATCATCACCACTCCAATACCATTACTATGACAACAACAATCATCATTGCTAGTTGCTGCTACCATCATTACCGCCAACGACATCACCATCTTGTTATGAGAGTAACCATCATTCGAGTATCATTTTATCATTGTTGCAATCTTCATTGCTACCACAACCACTATCATTCTATGACTACCATTACTACCACGAATATTATCATAATCACTACAGCATAAATAATACCACCATCACCATCACCATCACTACTATTTCTATCACCAATACTATAATTTCTATCATCTTATCATTATTTTAAAACCACCAATGAAAAATAATTTACTTATCATAAAAATATTTTTCTCAATACATCCAAACAATCAAAAGTAACTCATTTTGAGGAAAACATTTTCACAAATCAAACAGACCCTAAAAACAAAAACTTTGACATGTTGGTAATCAACCTGTTGTGTGATCCTAGTTTGTTGAGCTGAACTAATACAAAAATCTGACCATTGGAGGACAGCTCATAATTCAACCCAACAGGTAGTTTAGCCATTTTTCCCATCTCAACCTTTCCCAAAACAGTCACCTCGGGCAGCTAGGCTGATGAGAAATGTGCTGCTCCTGAACCCCAAAGATATATATATATATATAAGAAAAAACATAAGTCTGTGAATTAAGATGTCAATGGTGGAAAGGAGCGTTTTTTCTCATTAATCCATGCACCTATCCTTACAGGATTTGATTCTAATATTTTCAAATTGAAATTCCCAAGCTTAAACTATGAACAGAATACCAGGCATGGCATGTAATTTGCTGCAAGAAAAAAGAGCATAGGTTATTTCTTCCATTACAGCATTCTGTTCCATTGATCAAACTTGGCCTTCTAACACTAAATTTGAGAATATAAAATAAAATAAACAGCATTGTTTATGAGGATCAAATCAGATTTATTTCCCATTGTGAAAATTATCTAAACTACAGATTGTTATGAGAAAACACTAACTCATTTGACAAAGGAAATTAAGATTCTATAAATACTTCTAATCACATTACAAACATCTTTTTGATACAAAAACCCTTGTGTAATGTGCATCCGAATGAATGGTGTGCATATGCTCACTTTTACGTAATTATTTACCTTGGTTTCCTTCGCATTCCCATCCGTGATTTTGCATATCTGGATTTATCATTAAGCCAAACAATTTTGCTAAGATCAATAATGATGATAAGCAATGGAGTATTACACTCACATCAAAGTATTTATAAAGGATACTCCAACCGCATGCCCTCGCCAGCAACTGATGAATAGAGAACGGTGCCTTGCAGATGATTAAGTGCCCCGGTTGAGCTGGCAGTATCCTGCGTTAGTGATAGCATTTTTAAATTCAAAATCAGACTAGCTAAAGTGACTATAGAATTCCAGACTCAATATACATCCAAGACAAGAAAATGGAGATATTGACATTTCCAACAAATTTAAGCTTCATTAGTTTACAACCGATCAACATACATGGGACAAATTGTAAAATCAAGTTAAGAAATAATGCAAACTAAAGATCCTGCTTGTTCAAATGCCAAGGAGAAAGCAGACAATCCAAAATCCTAAGCAAAACAGAACAAAATTTCATTATGAGAAGCATGAATCCAAAACCCATTTTTTACATTAAAACCAAACCTAGCCTCTTACAAGCTACAAGGAAATTCATTCAATTATTCCACTTTCCTTTAATTTCTCTTGATGGGATGTTTTAGAGAATTAGAAAGAGAAAGAAGGAATGGAAGAAGACACTGGAAAAGAGCTAGACAGCAATCAAGAACCTGGAAATCAACAAATGCAACAGGAGCCCCGTACGTGCTCTGCATCTTCAATTTCAGAAACCCAGGGCATCTGACAGAAAGAGAGGGGGAAAAAAGAATCAGCAGTATAATCTATTTAGAGAAAAAAAATCAACAGAATATTACACCTGGAGTGACTAATGCTTCCTTGCCTTGAGAATACTTGAATCAGCTCTTGCTCTGTACAACTTTGCCCCAGATTAGCCACAAAAAGTGTTGGACATGGGGGTGCTGAAGAATTATTCTGTCAGTAGGAACATTAGTTTATCATCATCAAAGAATAAATGTTCATGTGCAGATCACATTCTGTTCTTTTGATATGAAAGCAACCACCCACCAATAAATGCTCATAATAATATAAAGGATGTGCAAAGATTCTTCCAGGAGTACAATATACTATGAGTACATTTGCATGTCATGTTTCCCTACGGTAAAAACTTCCAGCATTCTACAACTAATTGCAAGTGCTACTTATCTTATGGATGTCATATGTTCCTCAAAAGAATTACAAAATATTCAAATCTAGAAATGAATGATTTTCCAAACAATAAAGAACATGATAACAAGGATAATGAATTGTTTTAAGTAGTACAAAACAGCCATTCCATTTCAAGGTGATACAGTTGGGATAAAAAAGAAAAGTGTGGAACTTATAGAACTGATATTGACATAAAAACATAAGTAGTGAAAAGTAATCTAACCATTCTTCCAGCTTTTGACTCATTTCTAGCTCTATCATCAATGCTTCCAAGACTGAATAATTGAAACACAAAAAAGAAAAAGTGATTGGACAATCATGAACAGATGAAAGAAGAATTTAACAAAGATGGTTCCTCTACTCCAACTTCAGAAAACAGGGCATGCAGTAACTTCTTGTGCTAAGCCCTTGCCTTTCAGCTAGAAGGAATCACTTCAAGTTAAAACATGTGCCAGTTGAGCTAAAAGTAGTCACTCCCAAGTAATAGAGATGTGCTCAAGAAGTGCAAATGACCTTTGTGCAGATGGAAAACCAATCGTGTTGAAAGCAGAATTAGCCATTCCAGGCAAGTGAACGCTTCCAAAACCTGCTAGTGCCCAAGCGTGCAAAACATGTGCACTGTGAGCTTTTAGAAGAACGTGTCCTCCATGTGACTAAGCAATTGATTTGTATTCCAACGAAACCACAAAGCTAATAACAGTGAGTACTCAATCTATAAAATAAACACAGAGAAAAGTCCGCTAACAAGGAGCTCCCATGGAGAACACTCCATATGATATTAACAATTTTAGACAATGGTCTTACCCGAGTCAGGAGTGCCCATCGAGAATCCAGAGGACCCTCTAGCCTTCTTATCCAAACCAGACCATTCATCATCTAATCCTCAAAATCAAGAAGTATACATGCCAAGTTTGGTAAGTTGAAATCGGAAAAGGAAGTAACAAGGAAATTCAAGGCATAATAATATGCAAGCATTAGATTTAGACCTGTTCTTGAGCGCTTAGATCTGGAATTAGATTTTGCTAGATCAATATATAGGGTTGATCCCTTTTCAAGATCGAAAACCATACCCTACAACCAAGTTTCAGAACCAAGAATTCTCAGTTATTGCTGACATATCTCACATACACACCATTGCAATTAACCTAAGTATGACCCTAGTGCATAAAAATAACCCTGTGGAGAGTGCCCTTGGCATTAACTGGATTCCAGCCAGTTAAGAATTTTTCTCAGGCTTCAAATTGAAAAATGAAATTGGCATTGCTTCAAACCACAGCAGCAATATACAATCGTTATAAAAAATATATGATTCCGCATAATTCCTGGCTGGGACAGAACTTAAGTTTCATGTAAACAAACCCTACAACAATGCTGCGCATTTTATAGGATCAAGGCAAGATGTTCTTACATTCAGAGCATGCATGGCCGCAACGGCAGACGGCTGGTCTGTAAATGTAGTAAAAGCAAATGGCTGCAACAATCACAACATATCAGAAAAGGTAGGAAAACACATTTACTTAATCATGCAAAGACTGAATAAGATATCAGCTGTCTTGATTCTAAGCTTTTAATAACGCCTATTCAACCGATAACCGGCATGCTCATCTCTCTCTTTGTTTTTTCTTCGTGAAAATCTTTCTTTTGTTATTTAACATAATTTTTTACAACCTCGTAAACAAATGAAACAGTGTAAGAAAAAGCTCCCGATTATTCATGACCAATAATCTAACCCCACTGATTAAAACAACCATAATTAATTCTATAATCTCATTTACAACAGAAAAGTCGAAGTTCAAACAAAAATTAGTAAATACCTGAGAATTTTGTGAGGGGGTACGGAGATGAGAAGATTCGTAGCCAGGGAACTCTCGGAATAAATTATAGATTTCACGGGGCTTGATGTCATCAGGAAGGCCCGCAACAAAGAGGGTGCGGACCTGATCATGTGGGACATATGCAGGAACAGTGGCGTAGGATACAAAAGGTGCTGGAGATGGTTGTGGCTGAGATATGTAAGGGTGGTGATGAGGTAGGGGAGGTGGAATAGGTGCCACCGTTGGTGGCGGAGGTTGTGGTTGGTAGTAGGTTGGATAGTGACCCGGCGGCGGCGGTGGTGGCGGGTAGTATGCGGCCATGTTGTCGTCCATTGAGTAGTAGATACTAGAGAGAGGGTGATGGAACCCTTCGAATTTTTTGGTTTCTCGATTTTAACTGTGTAGTTTAGGTCACTAGGCTTTGCGGACTTGGCCCATTTCATTGATGGCATGATTTTATGCGGACCACTATTCGATTAAAACTGAAAAATCGAATGATTAGTAATTTCGATTTGATTTTATTTAAAAAAATTAAAATTAAAAATAAAATTATTTTGATTCGATTTGACTTTTTTTAAAAAAAAATTCAATTTTTATCGAAAATCGAATTTTGAAGCAACCTTAGTAATTATTTATCTTCTTTAGTTCTTTCTTGCTGGCAAATTGCAAAAAACCCTTCAGCCTTCACCCTTGTTCTCCAGTTCTCCTCTCCTCACAGAATCATAGTCCCGTGATTGTAGAACAGATCCTACATAGCTAACAGCCAATCAGCCTCACCCAATCCACTCCACCGTCTAGTCCTTGAACCAAGCTCCATTCGCCATTAAACCATTTCCTCACTTTCTCTCACAGTCTCCCTCTCTGTCAAAACTGAAAACGACCACAGACAAGCTCCAAGTTTAGCAAGCTTGTGCCTCGGAGTTGTTAGGAAGCATTTGGAAGATATTATTCATCACTTGACTTATATGATCGTCAACTTTCCTCCACATGTGAAGGTAACCTGCTGCAACACCCTTTATTTGCTTTTTTATTTTTGATAAAATTATAGCATTCATTGATGATTACTACAAATTTGTGCATCACTCTCTTTATCTTGCAATCTCTCTGTCTCTTAATTTATCAAAAATTTTCTTTTAACTTTGTTTAGAGATAAACAACATTTTGTTCTGTTGAGGATTGTTTTATCAGTGCCTATTAAGAGGTGGATTGCTCCATGTGTATTTTGACAAGTTAATAAATATATTTCAGAGGTGCTGTTAATTCTTATTAGTCTATGTATAGAATACCTAGATGGTAGTACGTGACAGGTTTTAAACTAGATTAAGGAAATCGAATTTGATGCCCACCATATGACAACCTACAATGTTGTTTCCACAGCTTGTCAATTCTCCTCTCTTTTTCTTTTTTTTTTTTCCTAAGGTACAATGTTGGTAAATATATTCCAATGCCTCCCTTTTTCAGACTTATGCTCATCCATTCATTCTTAAAACATCAATGAATTTAATCTCTATATTGAAAAAGCATACAGAAATTTTTTTCTTCTACGTACTCTTCCAACAAGTGATATTGTCTTGTCATAGGATTTGCAACCATGAAAATTTGTATGAGTTATTAATTTTATCCAAACTTTACTAATACAATGCCAAGAATATATGCATTAAGAAAAAAGCATAGCAACAAGGTTACATTGGGCGTGCCCCAACATGTGTCAATTGTCTGCTTTAATTTTTTGTCAAGGGAACAAGTGATATTGTGTTTTGGCATTGCTTTTCGTAAGAAATTTAGTATTGAGGATGTAACGCTCTTCAATTGAGACACCTCACTCGAATGGTCATGATCGACGAGTCGTCACTAAAACTTATATCCTTTTTATTTTCTTAAAATTAAGTTCCTAATTTAATTTTATTTATCTTTAAATATGTCAATTTAAAATATGTCACTAATAATATTTTCTCGTTAATATAGCGGAAGCATTATTCTAAACTTTCATCATTTATAAAACATCTCTCACCATAATTAATCATTTCTAAATAATCTTGTCCCAATATTTATACTCAAATTCCAAGTAAAAATTTTCAATATTCATAAGTTTAACATCAATACACTTATTATTTTAAAAATAAATATTTATTTAAAGCATAAGCTAATCGTTAGGAACACACAAAGGTAGGCACGTACGAGTCATTGGTCACCTGGAAGCGAGCATCAACATTTACATCATTACTCGCACCATAGAGCGGACGTGAGATACAAATATCTCAATAAGTGTAATATGCATGATTTTACATTAAAAATTTTATACATGAATGTCTTAAAAATTCTTTTCCTCATTTGGGCCGGCTAGAAGATATTAACACTGGTTAGCGAGGTCTAGACTCAATAAAAACATGCATAAAAACATTAACCTCATCATTTAACGGTCAAACCTTAACCTTTAAACCTTAACGTTTATGCTTCAATAGGCAACCTCAACCTTTAAAGCTCAATATGCATAAAAAAATAATAAAAAAAAAACCTCATTCGTTTACTTAAAACATTTTTTTTAATCGGCATGTAAAACATATGCATGCGTATGAATGCATCTTAAAACCATCACATCACATCAATCATATAAAAAAACATATAGCATTTACGTCCATGGTGTAGGTAAGTTACACTTACTTGATTCGCTTAAGACCACTCGTTTATCGTAACCTTCCTCTAAAAATCGATACCTCAACTTGATTCAAACCCCGAACATATAACCATATAACATAAGAAATTGAATATTATTATTTTATCTTTAATCGTTTAATTTTTATTAATTCCTATTCTTTTCTTGTAATTTCTTTTAAATTAAAAATCCTAATTAAATCATCAACTCACTCTAATTTATTCAATTCTCCTCTAATTATATTCATACAATTTAATGTTATTAATTTTTAACTTAGCATATTCCATTTTTATTTAAATACATTTAATCATCAAATATTCTAATAAAAATTTATGATTCTAATACTAAAATATAATTTTTACATAATCAATCCTAAATCATGAAATTTCAACCTCAATTCTACCTAAAATCATATGAAAACAAATATTTAAATTAAATATTTTTCTTACGTTAAATATTAAATCACCAAGACTTGAATCTTCTTCCAAGTACCTTTGACTTCACTTCATACTCAATTATATATTCTCTCTCTCTCTCTCTTTTTTGAAATATATGCTTGTGAAATAGCTTTCCTAAACGAGGAGAATGACATCCTATATATAGGCATGAGAAGTTGAAACATTTGAGAATTTTAAGTACATGAATTAAAAATAATAAAATACCACTAACTTTCTTCTTTTATGGCCACTAAGTGGCTTTCTTTCATGATCACTTTCTTTTTTTCATGACCACTAACCTTCTTCTTTTATGGCCACTAACCTTCTTCTTTTATGGTCACTTTCTTTTCTTTTATGGCCATTTATGTCTCTTCTTTAATTTTAACATATATTTCAAAACTTTTACTCTTTTTTCATATCCACTTGCATTTCCTTTAAAAGCTAGTAAAACTTATTATTATTTCATTAATTATTATTACTATTTTAATCCTTTAATTTCTAATAGCTTAGGCTAAGATTATAGAATTAATTCCTATTTATAAAAATACTATCTATAATACCCAAAATATATATAGTATATCCTAAAACTCTATACATAATCATCACATCATCTAAATACATAAAAATATTAAATTACATACACAAATAAATCACATATGCACACATATACATACCATATATTATCATGCAAAATTTTTTGGTATTACGAGAGGATGCCAATTGGATAATAAATAATTTGAGTACTAGTCTATTTAAGATTATCTTGTAGCCGATTGATGTTGAAGCATTTGTGAAAATGGCGGCTTTTGGAGAGTTAGGAGATATGCTTAGAAGCTCGTCCATTGATGAAAATACTACAAAACAATCTTTTAACCAAATGTCAACATTGGCGGCAATAGGTGACCATTAGCATGCCCAAAAAAATTTAATTATCTATAGTGGTTACATTTTTGCTTAGAATGAAATTTAGCACGGAATGCGAAGAGATACAAAAAGTTCATACTAATCCACTGCAGATGGATATGCTTGGATGCTTGCTATTGTAAGTCTTTTATTAATTTTAATTGTTTTCTTTTCTTTTTTTGTAATTCAAGTTATCAATTAATAACAATATCTCGGTGATAATTCGTTTAACTACTAAAGTTGCTAAACCATTTTCCAATTTTGATGGAGTGCTAATTCAAGTTATTAATTAATAACAATATCTAGAGTGCTAACTCATTTTGTAGCCTAGAATCTTGATACCAAAGGCCTTAGGTTTGGGTAATTAGGTAAAAGTTTAAGAGTGGGTTACTAGGTCTGCATCTCCGGTGCCCAAGCTAATTATTTGGGCCATGTAATTAAAAAAAAAAATTGATTTTAATCAAAAAACCAAATCGAAATTTTTGGTTTTTTAATTGAATAATCGAACCTCAATTCAATCGATTTTCATTTCTTTTTTAATATATTCGGTTAACCAAAAATTGAAAAAAAAAACACCAAAATCGAACCAAAAAATCGAATGATTACCGCTATTCTTATGTGAAAAATTTTATGGTGTTATGGCCTAATTACTGGTAGGGGTGATGAATCGGTTATTCAGACTCATTTTTTGATAATTTCGGTTCAATTTTGGTTAGTCAAATTATGAGAATTAAAAATTGAAGCCAAACTAAAATTTGGTATTTCAATTTAAAAACCAAAATTTTGATTTAGGTTTTCGGTTAATTCGATTATAGGCTTGCTTTTGGGACTTTATCCATGGGCTTTTTTTCTTTTTGCTGCCTATCATTCTTTGCCCTTCCCCTTTCACCTAACCACAATCGTGTGAGTTACAATAGATGGGGAACTCGTTGAACCGTGTAAAAACCTAAAAAAAAAAATGATTCTTTTCTTTTCTTTTTTCCAATAAATTCAAAACCCAAATAATAATAATAATGATAATAATTGACCTTTTCTCTTCCTTTGCTCGACAAAATACAAAAACCACCATCAAAATCAATCAATTAAAAGGTCACAAACTTTCCGTCATTTAAGCCTTTAAAAACATCATATCTACTCACATTTTCATCAAGAGTGAACTCAATTTAGACTCGCATTCTCGGTAGGCATTGTTTGGTTAAGGATGGTGTTATGTTGTGTTTTTAGTGTGGGAGAGGTATAGATGCACATTGTTTGGATTTATGTCCATTCCACTATGTTCTATGTATACTCGTAACTAACTAAAATAAGGTGCATCAATCGCCAAACAA